TGCTTTGTCAGCAGCAGTAGATGGCAAAGGTTAGCTGGGGATGGCAGGGACTGCAGAGTGGTAGGGAGCAGAGTATAGGACAGCTAAAGGAGCAGAGATGAGGGGAATGGGGGGGACCTGAAGCACACCCTGTGGTCGTAAATGTGGGTAAGCTGCCCAGCATCCAAATTTTGTTAATGTGGTCATGGAGCCACTGCAACAGCTGTAACTTTGAGGACTGGGCATAAGTACCATTTGTTCAGCAGCAGCATAATTTTGAACAGTTGCTGAACAAATGGTCATTGAGGAGGACTATCTGAAAGATCGTAAGCAGTCATGGTTTTATTAGCAACTGCTTCACTTAAGAACCAAGTTTCTGGTCCCAACTGTGGTTGCTAAACAAGGACTACCTGTACACAGAAAACTGAAGCAAGCTCTGTATTTTCTAGGGTAGTTCATACCTGACTAATAAACTAAGGTGGATACCCACAGCACTTTTTTTCTTGCTAACAATAGCTCATTCATATTTTACTAAATCTGGACTGTTCATCATGCTGATGCTATTCAAATGAACAGAAATGGTTTTCTTTCACACTGTACACACCTTGACCTTCACAGGATTCAGAGTGATGCTGGTGCAAGATTTATTCAAAGAACTTGTAGTGGGAGGTCTGGATTTAGCAAAATGTGCAAAGGAGTACTGCCATGTAGAAGAGATTTGGGATTTGTCCCAATAAGCCATCCCAATTAGATAATCTCCAAATTTTATAGTTTCCACTAGCCCTACCAGCATGGCCACTAGCCATGGATGTTGGAGTTGTAATCCATACTATCTGAAGATTTGGGGAAGCTGCTTTAGGGAGTAGCTATTCCATCCAGGTCAGCATAAACCCACCTGATCCAGACCATCAGTACTTCTGACCAACAAAGCATCCACCTTATCAACGATGTTTCATTCTTATCCAGAATTCTGATAACAGTACTGAAATAAATTCATACTTAGTTATGTTCCAGTTAAATTGGTGATGAGGCCATTGAAACTCCTGTCCTTCAAAATATGTCTTTAATTGTAATTAATCAATTTTTAAAAAATATTATACTGAGGGATAGCATCTAAGAAATGTAGCATGTATGCTGCTATAAATAATGTAATACTATAGGCGATTTAAAACTTAAATGACAGGGTTCAGAATTATGGAAGGACAGTCTGACACCATCTCCTGGCTCCTTAACATTAAACAGAGAAGGATTTTTTTGTATCCTATCAAAGATGAAGGCAGGTGACAGCAAAAACAAAGAAAAGCTTTCTCAGAGTCTGTACCACTATTGTGAAGCAATTTGGTTTTTAAAGTATAAATCAGTCCTTCTTTCATTAGCTAGTATACACATTTCTTTTTCAGCTGATACTCCCCCACTAAATATCTCTATTATGTATAAATATTATGGTTCTGTGGTCTATATTTAAGCTGTTATTTTTAATATAATTATTTATACTTTATATCATCTTTAAAATATTGTAAGCTACATAAATAGCATGCATGGTAGCATTATGAGATCAGAGCTGCTAAAATATGTAGGAACGCCAGATAACAGCATAGAGTTCTTTTTTTCATGTCATCTAATGGTCATCTGTTCTTTTGCAGTTGAGATCTAATAGCCCTATGACTAGAAGGGCTATCCCCCCAACCCCAAATATAAATTAAAATAAATAAATATTAGAATAAATACCTATGGTAACACAATATTATTAGAACTAGAAGCTAAAAGTGAACTAGTGAACTAAGTGTAAGTGATTTGAAAGCAAATACCATCTCCACAGCTTAAGAACTGAGAGACAGACAGTATGCTGGAAAAGGAAAGAGAAGATCACTCCTGGAGAGGAAGGCAATGACAAACTTAGAACATGAAAGTGACAATAAATATCAGAACAATTATAGCTGTCTTTGAATGCCATATACTGAGGAAAAAAACAAGATAAATATAATAAAGGTCTTTGAATTACCTATTTGGAAATGATTGCTAAGATTATTGCAGACTGTAAGAATCACCTGGACTAAAAAAAAAGGCCAACTATTTCTTGAGACAATGTAAAACATTCATATACTTTTAGAATATGAAGAGTTTAAATAGCAAATAACGTGGATAGATGGGATTGGATTACAAGAATATCCTTAGAAAAGCTATGAACAAGATAGTTCACTATGGCAGACATTTATCTAGCCATCTGGAATTGACAATGTCACCTGACTAGTGAGCACTGAAAAGATATAAAAAGCTATTCAACTCAAAGTAGGGTTGATATATGCTGGCCAGAGTCACTTGTTTTGTGAGATGGGTGGATATATAAATTGGACAAATAAATAAACAAACAAACAAACAAATATAGCTGTTAATATTAACTATATCCCCCACTGTCCCATCTACCATCCTAAACACCCAGTGCTTCCTGATGACATCACTTATTAGTCAGTGCCAGCCATACTGGGGTAACAAAATAGGACATCAGACTATACTGTTATAGTATGGATATAAATTTCAACCAAATCTTAAAACCTTTAATTTTGATCTGTCTGGGAGTAATGGGAGGAGTTACTTCCCAATTCTCACTGGCTTTCAGCCAGATGTCAGTGTTTTAAATTTACCTTGTTACTTCCTCCAATATCCAGTAGATGGTTCTAGTGTACCACAGATATCTCTTTTTAATCAGTAGAGAAAACAGAAATATACTTCAAAAAACAAAACACAAACAGATCCTACTACCCCCATAACCCACTCTTTAAAACTATTTGAAATTTCTACATGTATTCTTTTAAAACTATTTCTAACTTCTCTGTGTTAAATTTTTGCAATGTTATAAGAAATATACTTGCATACTTGTCAATGTTTGTTTTATAAATCCAGGATAGGATATTAGACATTAATGAGTTTTATTCTTGGGATATGAGAAATTAGGAGAAAAATGTAATTCTGAAAGCATACTTGATCATGATTATTCTTAAATTAAAAGTCAGACACAATGTAAATTAAAAGCATTTTTAAAGACTAATGTTCACAAGATGGCTCAGACAGAGTATGGAAACTCATACATAAAAACAATAGATAAAAAAATACAGAGATACATAATAGTTAAAACTCAAACAGAACATACTAGAAAAAAAAACAATATAGGTGAGCAATTACTTTGGTTGTATCTATTACTATAGAAGGGTAGCATGACTACTAGTTAAATTCTCAAGATAAGTTCATAAAGGCACTATATGTGTATTTCATCTTTAGTTTTAATTCTTAGAGTAGAACATATGGTGCTATCTGAACTTGTTTAATATGCTGCAAATATGCACTTTGGAATTAAATTAGCACTGGAAAAACATTTCACATATTCAATGTTCAAGAATATTATTTAAAATGTTAATGATTTCAATTTCAAACAAGACTTGGGATTCATAGACAAGTTTCATATTAAGTTTTCCTTATCAGATACAAAATTTTGATTCTAAAATTTGTGCCAAGACACATGATTCCAAGCAGTTTGTCAAGGATAAGTTAAAATATTTTAACTCTGTAAAATATCTTTGAACCAATACAATTGTTATCAGGATAATCAAAACTATTGTTTTCCATTTGAAAGTACCACATTCTATTAGATAAAACTATTCTGAATAATTCATATAAATTTAAGGGTTAAATAAACATATTCATTGCTATATCTTGAAATTACAGGAGGAGCAAAGACCATGCTTTGTGTCTGTGCAAAGTGGAAATATCTTCACTTTAGGCACTTATAAAACAAGATTGTTTTTCTAAAAAAAGAAAAAAAACCATTAGTCAGTTGATAATTCCTAGAACTTAATATGTGGGTTGTACTTTCTTAGTTTGGTCAAAATCAGTAACCCCCACAAGGAAAAACAAGTAATCAGAAAAGATGGAAAAACAGGAATTTGGCATATCTTTTTACGTGTATGAATATTTCTTAACCTGAGCTAATACTGTTCTGTTACTTATGTCCCTCCATATTCTGCATGTAGTCAATTATTTCATGCCTATTGAAAACCTGATGTCATCAATATTGTTACTTTGAACATTTCAATATTGAAATCCAAAATATGAGAAATTAACCCATAGAGAGCTCCATGACACTCTTATTTTTAGTAGCAGCAATGAAAATATGAGATTTTTGCTACATCAGGCAAGGCTACTTCTTAAGCTTGATCACTGATATTGAATCATGTACCTAAGATTTTAAAAAGTCACATGCAGGATGGTGTCAGCTTTCTTTCTTCAGAAGCATCCCATGGGCAATCAGGGGACTGCATAACTGGGATAGCAATGTTCTTGCCCTTAATGTTATTGTGCAACTATAGTTTGTCCGAGGCGAAGCTGTAGCTACATAAACTTAAAAGCATGCATTTTGAAATCTTTTGGGAGAAAAATGTATTTTAACGGAAGACAGGTTCTGTCTGTAACACTCTTTAGTAGGATGCAAATGACAAACAGTAAAGTTTTCACATACAATAAAAAGGTAAATATTACCAAAAGTACATGGCTATTATTACAGGTGTTACTTAAGACAGCGTTTACATTTTTGGGAGATACAAATTGCTAACCAAGCATCGCATGTGAAAATGATTCCAAACAACCCACTAAACCTGTGTGGTGAGATGCTTAAGGTGCTGACATGCTAAGCCTCAGCCATGGAAACTCACTAGATGACTTTAGAGCACTCACTCTTTCAACCCAACCTACCTCAAAGGGCTGTTGTGCAAATAAAATTAAGATCCTCATGAACATCATTTTGAAAACCTGGCACATGGTGGGATATAAATCTAACCAATAGTAGACCAACCATATTTACTAGGTTCGCACGATACACTGAACTGCAGAATAGCTAATCATATTTTAGAGTACTATGTTGTGTGAACCCACTCTTATTTAAATAATTTTTGTGTAGTGGTGGGATAACATCAGTATTCTGATTTAATCCCACCACCACACAAATGTACTAGTCTGCTCTTAAAACGTACCTTTTTTCTCGTTCTCCTTTCTGTTCCAACTGGGAGTTAAAAGGAAGTGGTTCCCTCTTCACTTGGCAGCCTATACGTCTAACTCAATGTAAATGTGGGACATAAATTTAAGTTTCTCAAACGCTCCTTATTCTGTCACACACACTCCCAAGCCCAAAGATTGGGCTTTTTCTTTTTTCCACCTTTCCCCCCGCTTCAGTGCAGCGCGGCTGATCTCTGCGAAAAGCGCAAGCTGCCTTGGTAAGCTTTTAGCAGACCCTGAGGGTAGGGAACGGCATGCTCTGAGGGGCAAAGGTGACCCGGAAAAGTACGATAATGGTTGAGACGCCGAGGCCCACTCCTTCACACGCACAGTTTTAATCGGGAAGGCGTTCAAATCTTGAAAGGGCCCCTGGGTGATTAATCGAAGGGCAAGACGGCGAGGAGCATCGGCCCCAATGCCCCTTATCCTGTCCTATTCCAATAAAGGCAACATGGCGGATGCGTCTCTTTCCCCCATTCCGGCTCATTCCCCCTTCTTCTTAACAGACCCGGGAATAAAAAAGACAAAAGTGCCCAGCAAGCAGCACATTATCATCCGTCGGGGAGGGGAGGGGAGGGGAGGCGAGATACGACGCAACCTATTCCCCGTCCCGTTTGCAGCGCGCTCGCGCTCGCCCTCGCCACACCCTCTTTATGCCCCCCTCCATTATTAAGAGCCTCTCTGGCTCCGCCTCCCTTCTATTCACCCTTTTCTCACCCCGATACA